ACCTGCCCCCCAACCCCCTCCCTGAAGACACAAGTCCTTGGCTTTCACACAATTGCTTGTTTTCATTTTAACAAAGGATTTTTTAAAAAAGTGAATTCTAAAACTGAAGGCTGACCTGTGCGTCGAGGGGCTATAAAGAATGGCCTTTAAAATTCAGGGAGTCTCAACTGGGATGGTTGGATTCAGAATCAGATTAAAATTCAATCATTTACTTATAATGCATTACAGAAGGTAAACAATTTAAATGTGGACCTTGCCCTTACAGGACTTACAATGTAGTTGAGAAAAAGACACATATGTGATTAATGACATCTGACTGAAAGGAGTTCCCTGATTAAAGACTGGGACAGCAAGGGAGAGGACTAGACCTCAGGATTATTCAAAGGTTGTGTTTATCTCTAAGACTCCAGGACTAAGCCAAGAGGTTTTAAAGCTCTTAAAAATAATGTGGGCATCAAGTGTCCATTTCCCACCCCAAGAAGATATTCTTAGTTTTCTAACATAAAGCCAAATACATAACATTTTAAATTCCTTAAAGAATGTGTTAGGAGATTGCCCCTGCCTCATTGTGTAACCTTGTGCATATATTCTTTCCAAGTCATGGGTTTCTCATATGTAAAATCTGGTCATTGGATTAAAGGACCCCAAGGTCCTTTTTAGCTTTGAAATTCTACAGCGTTCCTTTCGCTAAATAACTCTAAGTTGCCTAGCTCTCACTAAGTGGCTACTATTCTAATCCACCCCCTTTATTTTACATTTGAGAAACCTGAGACCCAGAGAGATTAAGCAATTTTGTCCAGTGCTAGTAAGTGTCAGAGCTGTGATTCAAGCAAATATCTCCCAGCTCCAGGTTCAGCCCTATTTCCTCTCCAGGATAAAGAGGAAAGTCTTGTACACGTTCAGATGATGATCATAACAATGATGATTGAAGCCACATAGCAAGTGAGATGCTCCTGCCAAAGCACAGAACACATCACCTCCAGGCCACATGGTCATGGAAGGAACTCCTGCTGGTCCCAGGAGAGAACACTGGCTACTAAGTGACCTAACAGGGCAGCCCCACATCAGTGAGCGGGGCCCACACTGGTCAGTGACACTACAGATAGCGTCCATCAACTCAGCTTGTACACTGTGGGGCCATGGAGGAAGCAATACGGTGCCCCCATGTGATGCCATACACGGGACCCCATTCGGCCTGGGTCCAGAGCACACAAACCACCCCCACCCCCAAGCAGCAGCGGAGCAAGACAGGCTTTGCTTTTCCTTCATATACACACCTGGACAAAAGTGCACAGGATAAAGAAGATGAGATTTAAGATGGATAATCCAGGGATGAGGTTGTACTCCAACACCATGGACTCATGAGGCTGGCTGTTAGGTATTAACATGTAAATCATCAAGCACATGACAGGGATGCCAAACACCAGACTGCACAGGAAAGACTTCTTCCATCTAGAAAGGAAAGCGGCAGCAATCGCGTCACGTCAGACACATTCCCATTTGCATTAGTGCCCCGTTCTCCTGCTGATAGGGTTTGAGACACATCTGTATTGCCTGTGTCAGGGGCTTTGGCCAGAAGGGAAAAGGCAATGGCTCTCCCTCCCAGACATCAGCCCATTGAGGCTATATTTAGCATTTTAAGTTTAAGTTGAAGAGTTAGAAGGGCCTTCAAGGACCATTGGATCCAGTGTCCTGTCTAAAGGCAGGTAAGGTGTCATTGTGCCCATTTTATAGATAAGGTAATTGAGGTCCAGAAAGGCAAAGTGTTTGCTTACAAAGTAAGTGGTAGAGGAGGGATTAGAACCCAGGTCTCTTGTCTATGAAGGCTGTATTCTTTCTACTATACCATGAAGCCTCTCCTTAGGCCTTAGTATTAACTCTCATTTCAATAAAGCACCAATTCTTAATTTGCAAAGTGTTCTATGTCTAAGACCTCTCCCAAATTAAGGTCAGGGGTCTTACAACTAAGAGACATGAAGCCATATTAATCCAAGACCATGTGAAACACTGGATACCAGCAGCAATGGTTACATAGGCAAGCACATACCAGGATAAGCCAAAGAATCTGGTTAAGGAGAGCAAGGCACTTATCCAAGAGCTTTGGGTTGTTTTTAAACTGTTCTACCTACTGTTTGATTTCCATCTTGTGATCCAAATGGTGAGCATTGGGGTTTTTCTGAGCCAAGGAAGCATGAAAGCCGATTCCCTTGTTTTTCAAAAAAGAAAAAGAAAAAAAGTGGAGAATACTTGGTAAATGAATGAACGCACTGGAAGAAGTATTCATAAACAATGAGATGAGTTTATGAGACACTCTCAGTTTTTTGCTCCATTATCGGTGGCTCATAAGCTCTCATTTCTCCTCACACGTAAAAATGTACAAATTCCACCTGTCTCCTACACACGGACACACACACATACACACACATGCGCAGGCACACACATACACAAGCAAAAGAATCCATCTTGGGTCAAGCCTGTGTGATGCTTTGTAGAATGTGTCCCATCCATAAGGACAGTGATGCTTCCCTTTTATAAATACAAAAAGAGTATATATAAAAAAGCTTTCTTCTTAGGGCTCCAACATTCAGAGGGCTTCAGAGCTGGAAGGCCCCTTGAGACAGAGTGCAGCTCCTGCACTTAGCAGAACTGAGATCTAAAGGGACTTTGGACTTGTCCACAGTCACACAGATAACTTACTTCTCCTCCTCCTGATAATAAATAACATAATCATGTAGGTTCACAATGTGCTTTCCTCACAACACTGTGAGATGGTGAAAATATCACAATCCCTCTTTTTCAGATTATAAAACTGAGGGTCAGAAGGGTTTAAAACTTGCTCAAAGTCACAGAAGTTCTCAAAGTGTTGTCCAGGGACCCCCGTGGGTCCCTGAGATCCTTCCATGAGGTCCTCAAGGTCAAAACTTTTTTATAATAAAACATTTTAATTTATAATATAGTAATTATAGATAGACAATTTACATTTAAAGAAGCTCTTTGGGAGGGACTTCAATAATTTTTAAGAGTGTAAAGGGGTCCTGAGATCAAAAAGTTTGAGAAATGCTGTTTAGAAGGTCAGAACTCGGATCTCCTGATGTTAAGTACAGAGATCTTTCCACTAAATCACATGATGATTTACAAGGTTGCTCAACAGTTAGGATTTCATCTGTGGCTCATCGATAACCACCTCTCAACCTTCCACATATACACAGCTGACCCCATGAGGAGAGAGACCCTGGAACTTTCATCACAAGTCTTGAACAATAAAAATCAAATATAGTTGGAGAAGGTGGTATGAGAGAGAAGAGGCCATCTGAGAATCTTGGTTAACAGGGCCATGTATGACAAATTATAGCACTGTGGTACTAAGAAAAAACACATAAGGTGCAACAAAGAAGATCCAGGGCAGGAAGCGGGTGAAACTTCTCAGAACAAGAAGGAGGATGCAGCCACAGCCTCTGATGGGGGTGAGGCCAAATGAAGGAGGTAAGTAACAGAGGATATAAAATACCCTGAGGGGCCTTAAAAAGCTGTGCTCCATCACTGCCTTTTCGAGATTCTTCCTACCCTTGCAAATTTGACTTTGATCCTTTACATCACTCTTCTATTCCAAATCGTTGGTATCCTTCAAGATTTATTGAATACTAACAGTATCTCAGGGCCATTCAGCTTGGGGTGTTTGGTTTTTAAACACTGAAAAAGTCACTCTTATTAAAGGAAGTTAAGAACAAACATTGCTAATCTTGCATGAAGATGCTGCATTTCATAAGAGATTTTAAGAAGGTCATAGTTGCCACTAAGCTGCAACTTTGTCCCATTCTCTAAAGGTTGCATTGCAAGTGAATCCTGTTTGGTTTTCTCATTGATTTTTTTTTTTAAAAAACCATGCCAGTCATCACTAATGGTCTCTAAAACAGATCATGGGAGAATCTTGGTCAAAGGGGATAAACACTGATTGCAGCTCCTTGAGAGCTGACTACATCTTTTCCATCTTGGCATCCTCTCTAGGTATTTTTTTTTGGCTGGGCAATGGGGTTAAGCGACTTGCCCAAGTTCACACAGCTAGTAAATGTCAAGTGTCTGAGGCCAGATTTGAACTCAGATCCTCCTGCCTCCAGGGCCAATTCTCTATTCACTGTGCCACCTAGCTGCCCCTCGGCAACTTCTCTAATACAGTTCAATGCACAGAGCAAACACCAAAATAGACATGTGATGAATAAGGGAAAGAGTAAAAACACTAAGACAGCAGGAATCATCACAGCTCATGGGCCAGGCACCTCAGCTCCACAGATGTTTCAAGCATTCTTCCAAAATGAACACAAAGATGTAATTGCGTTTTATTCCAATCTACCGCCTTACTATTTCAGATTACCTAAGATTTATCTCTTTGAGTTTGCTTTAAAATAACTTACCTCAATAATTTTTATAATATCCCGAGGACCCACAATTTCAGGATCAAACTTGATGTGTGCCTTGCTAGTAGCAAGGGCCACAGAGGCATAGAGAATGCCCTTGGTTCTGTTCAATCTGGATTCAATGTTGTGAACACATGAAGCACAGGTCATTCCTGTGACCTGTAAAGCAGAAGGATAAAATGGATATTTATCAGAGAACTTGCAGGCTCTAGGCTAGGGCTACCCAACCTGTACATTATCAGCCACTCATCTATCATAGGTTATCTGCTACCACATTCCCTCCTATCAACTCCTATGTGGCCAGTAATTTATCCTAGGATCACTAGGCCACAGATCTCGAGGCAGAAGACATATGGAGGTTATCTAGTCCAATCCATTCATTTTTTTTTTTTTTTTGGCTAGGCAATGGGGTTAAGTGGCTTGCCCAGGGTCACACAGCTAGTAAGTGTTATGTGTCTGAGGCTGGATTTGAAGTCGGGTCCTCCTGAATCCAGGGCCATTGCTCTATCCACTGTGCCACCCAGCTGCCCCCAATCCCTTCATTTTGCAGATGAGGAAACCGGTCAGGGCTGGTAAGTTACTCTTTCAAGGTCACACTGGTAGTAAGCATCAGAGACAAGATTTGAATTCACGCCCTCTGACTATGGAGTCACTGATCTTTCCTCATAATACCCCTACTCATTTGGGGAGTTAACGCTCCATACCAGCACCATCCACCACCCTCCCAAGCATCTTCAAGTGCATAAATAAAAAGTAGCTCTTCTCCCCCCAAAAGGCTGTGAATCCCTTGTCGAGGCAACATAATCGACCAATGAATGCGGAGGCAGGACACTTGAGCTCAAACTTCCGGCTCTGGGAGTTACTTGCTGCATGGTTTGTAGGAGGCATCTCTTCTCTATACTTCTGTTTTCTCACTGGCTCCACGGGTATAACAACGTCTGCTCTTTATCTACCTCAATGAGATTTTGAGAGGAGATACACTCTTTGCAAAACAATGTGAGCTCCTTAAAACTTAGGCTCTGTCCCTGCTAAGGAAGAGATTAGGGCATCTTTTAAGGTTTCTTCAGTTCCGTCACTGCAGGAAGGGAGAAAATCATTGCTGTGAGATGCATACAATGAATCAGACATCTAGCACTAATAGTCAGCATTCTCCTTCATGAAGAGCTTACTTATTATGTATAATAGCTCACATTTATACGGGGCTTGATAGCTACAAAGAGCCATCCCAAACATCTTCCATAAGACCACACCTGCATAAAAACCCCATGAGTCTTATTTAAAAAGACCAGATTGGGCAAAGGAGACATACACTGGACAATATAGAATCACGGAATTTGAGAGTTGGAACGGACCTCAGTAGCCATCTGGTCTAATAGACTGAAATTATCAATATAATTTGAGATAATACAACATGATATAATATAATGAGACAGCTATTTGGTACAGTGGAGAAAGCGCCGGGCCTGGAGTCAGAAGGACCCAAGTTCAAAACTGACCTCAGACAGTTACTAGCTGTGTGACCCTGAGTAAGTCACTCAATCTGGTTTGCCTCAGTTTCCTCATCTGTTAAATGAGTTAGAGAAGGAAATTACAAACCACTCTAGTATCTCTGTCAAGAAAACTCAAATGGGGACACAAAGTCAAACATAACTGAAAATGACTAAACACACCAAAAAAGTGATATTATATAACTATGTATATATGCGTACATGTATAGATACACATATATACATATATCTAAATATGCAGACGTATACAAACACACATACGTACTTCCTATGCACTGATTTAATCCAAAAGTACCTACTCTGGGGAGTGCCAAGTCATGACTGTCTCTCTCACACACACACACACACACACACACACACACACACGATAAAGTTTGAACCAAAAATATCACTTATGCAACTAAAATGAGATCCATTTGAAAGGAAAATGTGTGTGTGTATGTATGTAGCTAAACATTTAAAAAGAATGCCAAGTATAGTCAAGTTCCAGGTTAATATAAGCCAGATTTGGGAGGGAAATGGGGCCTATATCAGTGCAGTATCCCCATTTACAGATAAGCAACCTGAGTGCCACAGATGTTAATGATCTGTTCAAGGTCACATTGAAGGAGAAGGGATTCAAACTCAAGCCTTCTAAGTCCACATTGACTCTCTCAATGCTGAGACCCACAAGAAAATCCTGTGTACATGTTATAGTGACCAGTAGTAAAAATAATACACAGCAATGATCATAAAGGCAAATTAGCTTAAAAATACTATATTATGGCACTATAATTCTTACAATGTTAAAAAAAGTTCTCAAATAAAATTATTCATTTATTTTTAGATTTTGAGGCGTAGCAAATTGGTTGGTTTAGTATTTGCCTCCTTTGCAGAATGTGGTAGTATGGGAAAGGGAAAATTCTTCCAGGATCCATCACTAGGTTGACAGCAGCAATCAGGTGACTGCTACGCCCTACGTCCCCCAACACAGAAAGGAAGGCCCCACTCTGTAACACCCAGTTCCTTCTTTCATAAAGAATGCCACTTATCAGAAATTCAAAGAGCCACCTATGTCCTTAAAACCTTGTCTTTAAATATTTGCTTACTGCTAATGGCTGCGCTCAGATACAGCAAGCCAATGAAAGACTCTTTCACTCTGCCACACAGCATTGCTCAATCTCTTTCTTTCAGGTCAGCTGCTTGACACAATAGTCCTCTTACCGATGGGCAGCACAGGGAGTAGATCCAGGACTGGACTTGGAGTCAGGAGCCCTGGTTTTTGATCCTCCTGTCTAATATTTGCTAGCTAGGTAAACATGCGTATATACTGCAACCACTCAGATTCTGTTTTTCGCATGTCAAAAGAGTATAGTAATAATAGCTAGTATTTATATATCGCTTTAAGGTTTGAAAAGAGCTTCATAAATGTTATCTCATTCGATCCTCACAACAACTCTGGGAGGTAGGTGCTGTTATAATCTCCATTTTACAGATGAAACTGAGGTGGGCAGAGGTTAAGTGACTTGCCCAGAATCTCACAGTTAGTATCTAAGGCTGGATTTGAACTCAGGTCTTCTTGACTCCAAGTCTAACACCCTAACCACTGGGCAACCTCTGTAAATAATACTTGTACTTCCTACTCACAGGGTTGCCATTAAGAAAACTATTTTGCCCATTTAAAATGCCATACAGGAATTCCCAGAAGAGCAGTAAGTGAGTAAGCTTCAATAGCTTAAAACGGCACCAAGACTTCTGGGACACCCTGTATTAATGTTTCAGGGTCCCTCATAGACAGAGATGACTGGTTACAGTGAATAAGTGGGCACCTCTCACTCTACCCAGTCCCACAGCACAGCTCCTCATGTTTCTCTGAGCAGCCGTTACAGTGACTGCTTATCTTCAGTGTGTTATGTTTGACCCTTGTCCCTTCCATCCAGACAAGGACACAGAGAGTAAAGTTTACATGCCCTGACTCCTCTCCTGGCCAGTGGACTTCACAGCATCTCAGACACTCAGAACAACCTTCTGAGCCTCCTCAACCCTCTTTGTGTCCAATAATGGCGTGGAGTTATTCTGCCTCTCAAATGCTTCAGTTTTCTGAGCACCCTTTCTAACACTAGTTCACCTCAGCATATCAACAGCTCCCTAAGCCTGTACCTCCCCAGGATTCTTGAATTTTTCTCCTCCCTAAAAATGTCCTTTTACTCCCCAAATCCTCCTTCCAATGCACTGATTTAATGCCAAAGTACCTACTCCTGGGAGTGACAAGTCATGACTGTTCATTCATTACAACACAGAGTGAACAAGTCATCACTAGTAACTTAGAAAAAAAATTTAAGCTGGGTCTCCTGAACCAGAAATACTTTGGTCAACAGCCCAAAGAATGGAACCCTCCAATAAGTAGGGGACAAACAGAATATTTTAGGTCCCTTCCATATCTAGGTCTAATTGTCTCATTCTCAGGAAACTGAGATAAGAGAGGGAAAGTGATGACTATGGTCATCCTGCCAATTAGGGGTAGAGTCCAATCTAGAATCCAGTTGCCTCCTCTTACACTCTTCTCCTTCTGTTTTAGTTTTCCACCCCAATACTCACAATTAGCTCGATACTGCCATCTGACGCAGTGTAATCTTCCATTACTGTAGCTTTAAAGCCCAAGTTGTCGACAAGCTGGGCTATTTCAAGGGGCTGGATGGTTTGTGGATTATACTTGACCTCTGCTTTTCCAGCCATCAGAGCTACCAGAACCAAAAGTATACCTGAAACCATAAGAAGAACATTTTGTGGCTTGTACTAAGCAAGGTCCCGTGGAACAGCATGTAGAGTACATTGAAAAGTGAAAAAAGTCTCCTTGAGGCCATGGGATATCATACCAGTGGGATATGGCCATATACACCATATACCTCCAAACAGGAAATTCCATCTATCAGCCACCATTTTACAAAAGAGATAGAACTTCTTTCTTAGATGCTTGCAAAAAAAAAAAAAAAAAGAATTCCCCTCCAAAGCAATAACCTCAAATATTCTCAATCCATAGCCTGCTTCAGTGAGATTAACAAGACTGTGGATCATCCACCCCACCTGCTTCCACTTGCCACCACAAAACACCCTGTCCAAATTAGGAGAAAGGATAACATGTCTTTTAATGAAATGCCAGAGAAGAATATCAAGAAAGGATCCACAGAGCACACAAAAGATAAATTAATTTAGCCTGTGGACAATATACAAAGAGGCCCTTTTCAGACTACATTTTTAAGGACCATTGTTCTAGGATACCAGGAAAATAGAGATTATGGTGAACAGAGGACTGGGAAGAAGTTCTTCTGTCTTAAGAAATGGGAACCCACAAGAAGAAAGGGACCTGAGAGAAGATGAAGTTGTATGATGCCATACAATAAATAAGGCCCGAAAGGGAAAAAGCTACAATGCTAATACCAGAAGGACTGAACATGAAAAAAAAGATACCAAGGAAGAGGAAAAGCTCTGTGTTGGGGGAATACCATTTTTCCATGCCTAATTTATACAAAGCTATCTTTTATATCCCAAACAAATGAAATATCAAAGATCAGAAAATATGGAAGGAACCAATTGTCCAAGAAGACTAGACAAACTTTTATACTAATCAGAGAAAAATCTCCTACCAAGTTATTAGATAACAGACAAGGAGCAAATGATGGCACTAAAAGGAGACAATGGTTACCGTATTTCAATGATTTCTTAAGCTATTCCAATATAGAACATATGATAAATTTCATGGATTCTGTACTGGAGATAATTTAGGGTTTATGTCTCTTACCATCTTCCTTCAGTAGATTTCTTTCTATGTTGGAGACACAGGATGCACAGGTCATGCCTGTTATGCGTAAAAAACATTTCTCCGAGGTCACCGCCTTGGGGTGAAGTGGGTATCCTGAGGGAAATGGCTTTGGAGAGTGGCCCAAGATGTTTGTTTTGTGATAGCCCTTAGCATCAACTTCATCCTCCTGAAGAGAAACTGAGTCCTTAAGCTCTATTTGGTCATTAGAATCCACAGCACAACAGTTTCCAACATGCTTTCTGGAACTGGTTTCTATATTTTTTTTAAAAAAGGAGAAAGACATAGTTCAAATTAGAGAATCAAATTATTTCTTCCACAAAAATTAAAACAAAAATCTGAAAGCATCATAATCTAAGCCTGAGAGAACATACTGGGTTTCTCCACCCTCTTCTCCCAACACATACAGAAAAACCTCAGACCACTAAAATGGTTAATAGAATGCTTTGGTTAGTCAGTAAACAAGTATCTGAGTGCCTACTATGTGCCAGCCACTACGCTAAGCACTGAAGAATGTAAGTAAAGGCCAAAAACGTTCCTTGCTCTTGAGAAGTTCATAGTCTAGGAGGAGAGACAACATGCCATCAATTATGAATAAACAAGATACATACAAATTGGAGATAAGCTTAAAGGGAAGGCATTAAGATTAATGAAGCCTGGGAAAGGTTTCTTGGCAGAAGGGTGGGATTTTAGCTGAGACCTGAAGGAAGCCGGGGAGGTCAGGAGGTAGAGAATTCCAGGCAAAGGGACGGCCAGTGCTGGTTAGCAAAGGCTTGATCAACAAACCATTTTGTTTCAATCTCCACATTCTAAAAAATGTCGACTTATCTTTCTTAAATATAGTACCATGAATATAATTTAATCTTTCTTTCATAAATAAGGACACATATACTTTAAGAGCCTCTAATCTGAACATTAACAATCCTGTAGGTGATGAATATCACCTACATAAACTACAGATATAAAAGATACAAGAATTATAGAATCACAGAAATTCAGGGTTGGAAGAGATCTGCCCAATCTCACCTCCCCCCACCCCCAAAAGAGAATCTCCACTCCACCTGTGAGGCAAATGGGCTGAAACTGTACTGATCCCAGCCATAAACTAGTGGTTTCTTTTTAGTCAATCCCTAATAATAATGTTTTCTGTCATTGGAAAGCAGTGTGGCATCGTGGAAAGGGTTCTGGGGAAAAGGACAGGGGTTCAAATCTCACCTCTAATGTTATATGTGACCTCAGACAAGTCTCTAGCTATTAGTTTCCTCAACTGCAAAAAGAGAGGATTGGCCTAAATGAGAAGGCTCTTTAGAGAAATCCTTTCTAACTTTAGAGAGGTCCCTTCTAGTTTTAAATCTATGATCCCTACTCTTTTCCCTAAAAGTAGTATAATGAAACAAAACAAATGTCAGGTCTTTTAGGCTTCCTTTTCACACTGGAATTGATAGAAAACTCTGATCTCAGTTGCTTCATCCCCTCAACTCCAATAACCCTCACCTTGACTTCAATGACTCTGGCTATCAGAACTGTTCTGAATTCCACCTCTTCCACAATCCATCACTTTGACAGCAGCAATCAGATGACTACTAGACCCTAAGTCCCCCAACACAGAAAGGAAGGCCCCATTCTGTATTGCCCAGTTCCTTCCTTCATAAAGAATGCCACTTATCAGATTCAAAGAGCCACCTATGTCCTTAAAACCTTGTCTTTAAATATTTGCTTAATGCTAATGGCAGTGGTCAGTCACAGCAAGGACAAAGAAGAGACTCTTTTAACTCTGCTATACAGCATTGCTCAGTCTCTTTCTTTCAGGTCAGCTGCTTGACACAGTCCTCTAGGATGGGCAGTACAGGGGGAGCAGATGGGGGTCAGACTTGGAATCAGGAGCACTGTTTTTTAAATCCTCCCCTCTAACATTTGCTAGCTCCTGCCTGTTATTTAGCACTGATAGAGAAAAGTCAGCAAAGTTCATGGTGGATTCATGGTACAGGGCCTTGATGGGGAACCTTCCTATTCTACCCATCTCAACTACCTTGTTTCATTCTCTACAAACCAATTTGCAACATTTTCTTCTCTTATCTCACCATCAATCCCACCGGCTAATGACTTGGCCTCTTCCTGCAATGAGGCTATACTTTAAAATCTGTTGACCTACACTGGTAGGAGTCTCCTTATTTGGAAGTTCCCTATACCAATTAAATCACAGGTTTAGTGTCCAGGCCCATCATACTTTTTGAGCTTTCAAGGCACTAAAATATAGCCAGATATTTTTCAGACGAACTATAATCTAGCCACAACTATCCCATCCTGAATCTAGGAACTTCTCTTTTAACCCAAGTATAAGATTTTGTATTTATCACAATTAAATTTTTATCTTTTTTTCATTCAGCCCACTGTTCTAGCCTGTCAAGACCTCTTTGGATTCAAAATCTGCCATCCAAGCCACTGGCTATCCCAGCCATCATTGTATCAGCTTCCAAATAATAGCTAACTACCCAAGTGTGATTGATGAAGGATTTAAAATCCCATATAAACAGTTATGTGTTGACTTCATGCTACATTTCTTGCCTGTTAAAACGGGATTAACTGTTCTCTTTTGTTTTCCTTATTGATTCTTCTTTTTAAAAAGATCTCCTTCCTGAAACTAGGTGTAGTTCAGAATGTGACCAAAACAACACGTGTGATGTACACATTCTATGCAGGTAACCGAGTATACAGGGCAGAACATGATTACTATTTCTACTACTCTACTCCTCTTAGTTCTCCTCCTCCTCTAACTAGCTAGCTAGCATTCATACAGCATCATAAGGTGTGCTTAAGCACTTTACAAATATTAGCTCATTTTATCCTTACAACAACTCTGGGAGGTAGATGTGTATTTGAATCCTGGCTCTGCTGTGAGTTGTATGATTTTGCAAAAGTAGCAACTTAAGCAGGTTCAAGTTTCCTTATGTGGAAAATTTGTTTCTACGCTGTTTATCAACTAAGGTTTTGTTGTGAGAAGCAAACGAGATAATATGCATAGTATGCTTTGTAACCATAAAGTATTATATAAATGTAAACTACTATTAAATTTGGAAGTGTAGAAGGGACAGAAGGTGAATTCAATTAAGTCAGTCTTTATTTTTATCACTGCTCTGAAGCGAGCAATTTTACAGGAGTTCAGACTTAGTGCCTTTTTACAAGAGACAGTAGAAGAAAAAGGGGATGACTAAGTTGTCCACTTGACTGATAAAGGTCAAAAAAGGACATGGCTCTTCTTTTCTCCTTAGATTTAGAAACCCTGGCTATGGCATTCAACTTCCTATGAAGTCAGCAGAAATCAAAATACTGATACATCTACCAATCATTATGGAAAAAGGAAATGGAATGATCTCTAGGGGATTGACCTAAAAATGAGACCATGAGCTAAGGAATTAACAGTGTCACAGATTCAAGGCTAGAAGGGACCCTTAGGGGTCATCTAGCCCAATTCTCTAATTTTCTAAATGAGGAACTGAGACCCAAAGCAGTTAAGTGGTTTGCCCAGGACTATAAAAACAGTAAATAATTGACCTGAGATTCGAACCCAGGTCCCTGATTCCAAATTCAGCATCCTTTCCACTCTACTCTATCATGCAACCTCTAAGCATGATTATCATGGTGGCAAAAACTAAAAAGTTGGAAAATCCATTTCCTCTATCCTGATTTTACTTTCTTCCTCTGAAAACATGAATAAAACTTTACTCTGAGATATTACCTGAAAAAAAGATACAGTTTAAAAAATATTCTACAAGCCTCTGTGGCAAAGAGAGTTTGTTTGAAGTGTATTGGAGTCCAAAGCAATCAAACAAGACATGACTGCCTTAAGGGAAAAAAAAATTGTCAAAGAGCCTTATTGTGTTCATCTTTGGTATCTACTGCCATAATATCCACATGAGAATTTTACCTGGCTATTGGGAATAACATGAATTCATTCAGTCATTCAGGGCAAAGGGAAAGACTACTTTACAGTTATTCCATAAGAAGATGAGCCACCTGTCAAACCAGCTGGATACTATGTTATTAGATAAAGAGAGAAAAAGAGAAGACAGTTGACAAGGAAACTACCAGATATTAAATACATACCAGTTATGAGGGATGCCTCAAATCCCATGTCTTCAATTGCAGCTTTCAGCTCTTCAGGGTTTACTATGGAGGCATTATAGTGGATAGTTCCAATCCCTTCAGCTAAAGAGACTGAAACTTTTCCTAGCCCTTCCCTTTGGGACAGTAGGCTCTCGATGGACTGCACACAGGAAACACAGGTCATTCCCTCAATGCGAATCACAGCAGTACTCCACACTCCCTGCACTTGGTTTCCGTGAGATTGGGTAGATAGAGGAAGTCTTGAAGACATACTGTCTAATGAATTCTCCAACCCACGATATTCCACTCCATTAGGGAGAGTGACTTTAAAATTCCCAGGTGGTAGAGCCTCAATGGCTTCTTTCAAGAATAGTGGGGTAATAGAGGCTGGATCAAACTGAACATCTGCATTTTTGTTTTCTAGAGATACTTTAATGCTTTGCACACCTGGTAGTCCAGCTATATTTCCTTCAATATTCAAGACACAGGATTTACAGTGCATTCCTTCCACTCCTAACTGTAGAGTAGCAGCTGGGCCAGGCTGCTCCCCCTGTGCTTCAGTATTACTACAGGAGAGTTGAGTTGGCATTTTCTTTGGGTTGTTGCTTTGTAACTGTCCAATATCAATCATTCCCAAGCTTAATGGTGCCATTTTGCTCTTGATGGTGGCTTCAAATCCCATGTCATTGATATGGTCTCTGAGGTCTCCAGGTTGAATGACATAAGGCTGATAAGTGATGACAGCCTCTTGATTGCTAAGGGAAACTTTGATTTTCAAAACTCCTTGAAGTTTTCCAACCTTCCCTTCTATAGTACTGACACATGACTGGCAAGTCATGCCCTCCACACGAAGCTTTGTCACTGCTTCATCAGCAGATGAGGGCTTTGTGGGCTCTGGCGCAGCCTTTCCTTCTGCTATGTTAACATCAAAGCCCATATCCCCGATTTCATAGCAAATCTGTTGTAGGTTTATGGTCAATGGTATGTATTTCACAATGGCATTACTCCGTTCGAGGGAAACTTTTATGCTCATAATACCTTTCAAGTTAGAAATCTTGCCCTCTATAGACTTCACACATGATTGGCATGTCATGCCCAAAATGTTGATCATACTAGTGCTTGTTAAAGATGATGATGCAGGTGAACTATCCAAGCTGCCTTCAAAGCCTATGTTGTCAAAAGCAAATTCCTGCTTTATTGATAATTCTTGAGTACAAGCAGCAGAGGAAACTTTAGATAGCATCTAAAAGAAGAAAAGATATCTTTAGAATTCAAAATCAGCAATATTATTTTCTCCTAGAGACATTCCAGGTTCTCTGGCACATAAGGATGAAAGATAGTATCATGTTATATCCACAGAATAAACAAGAAAGAAGTTAAGGAGGTCAATAAAATTCTGGAAAAGTTAAATATGATAGATCTCTAGAGAAAATTGAATGGCAATAGAAAAGAATATACCTTTTTCTCAGCAGTATATGGTACCTACAAAAAAAATTGACCACGTATTAGGACATAAAAACCTCACAACTAAATGCAGAAAAGCAGAAATAGTAAACGTATCCTTTTCAGATAATAATGCAATAAAAATTACATTCAACAATGGAAAGAAATATTAAAAATTAATTGGAAATTAAATAATCTAATCTTAAAAAACAAGTGGGTCAAAGAACAAATCATAGAAACAATCAATAATTTCATTAAAGAAAATGACAATAATGAGACAACCTACCAAAATTTATGAGACACAGCCAAGGCAGGAGGAAATTTATATCTCTAATTGCTTATATCAATAAAATAGACAAAAGGCAGATCAGTGAATTGAGCAAGCAACTAAAAAAATTAGAAAAAGGTTAAATTAAAAATCCCCAATTAAACACCAAATTGGAAATCCCAAAAACCAAAGGAGAGATTAATGAAATTGAAAAGTAAGAAACTATTGAACTAATAAATAAAACTAGAAGCTGGTTTTAAGGGAAAAAACAACAACAACAACAATAAAATAGATAAACCACTGGTTAATTTAATTTAAAAAAAGAAAAGAAGAAAACCAAATTACTAGTATCAAAAATGAAAGGGGTGAATTCACTACCAATGAAGAGGAAATTGAGACAATTGTTAGGAGCTATTTTACTCAATTATATGCCAAAAAATTTGATAATCTAAATGAAATGGACAAATATCTACAAAAATATAAATTACCCAGATTAACAGAAGAAATAAAATAATTAAATAACCCAATCTTAGAAAAAGAAATTGAACAAGCCATCAATGAAATTCCTAAGAAAAATCCCCAGAACCAGATAGATTCACAAGCAAATTTTACCAAACATTTAAAGAACAATTAATTCCAGTACCATATAAACTACTTGGAAAAATAAGTGAAGAAGGGGTCCTACCACATTCCTTTTATGACATAAATATGATACTGATATCCAAATCAGAAAGGGCCAAAGCAGACAAAGAAAATATATGAATATGATATATGAACATTGATGCAAAAATTTTAAATAAAATATTAACAAAGATTACAGCAATATATCACAAGGATCATACCCTATGACCAAGTAGGATTCATACCAGGAATACAGGGCTGGCTCATTATTAGGAAAACTATCAGCATACTTGACCATATCAATAACAAAAACAACAGAAGTCATATGATTATCTCAATAGATGCTGAAAAAGCTTTTGACAAAATACAGCACCCATTGCTATTAAAAACACTAGAGAGCATAGGAATAAATGAAGCTTACCTCAAAATGATAAGTGATATTTATCTAAAATCATCAGTAAGCATTATCTGTAATGGGGATAAGCTAGAAGCTTTGCCAATACAATCAAAGGTGAAGCAAGGATGCCCATTATCACCTCTATTATTTAATATGGTACTAGAAATGTTAGCTATAGCAATAAGAAAAGAAAAAGAAATTAAAGGAATTAGAATAGGCAATGAGAAACAAAACGATCACTTTTTGCAGATGACATATTATACTTAGAAAATCAACTAAAAAACTACTTGAAATTATTAACAACTTTAGCAAAGTTACAAGACACAAAATAAACCCACATAAATCATCAGCATTTCTATATATTACCAACAAAGTCCAGCAGCAAGAGTTAGAGAAATTTCATTTAAAATAACGGTAGACAATATAAAATACTTGGGAGTCTACCTGCCAAGACAAACCCAGAACATAACTATAAAACACTTTACACACAAATAAAATCAGATCTAAACAATTAGAAAAATATTAATTGTTCATGGGTAAGCCAACCCAATATAATAAAAATGACAATTCCACCTAAATTAATCTATGGAATCAGTGCCACACCAATAAAATCAACCAAAACCTTATTTTATAAAGCAAGAAAAAATAATAACAAAATTCATCTCGAAGAACAAAAGTTCAAGAATATCAAGGGAATAAATGAAAACAAATGTGAAAGCAGGTGGTCTAGCCATACCAGATCTCAAACTGTATTATAATGGGGTGATTATTAAAATAATTTGGTACTGGCTAAGAAACAGAGTGGTGGATCAGTGGAATAGAATAAGTACACATTACAATGTAGGAAATGACCATTGTAATTCAGTATATGATAAACCCAAAGATCCAAGCTTTTGGAACAAAAACTCATTATTTGACAAAAACTGCTGGGTAAACTGGAAAACAGTATGGCAGAAACTAGGTATAGACCAACATCTCACACCATACACCAAGATAAGGTCAAAATGGATACATGATTTATATATAAAGGGTGATATCATAAGCAAATTAGTAGAGCATGAAATATTTTATCGGTCAGATTTATGGATAAGCGAAAAATTTGGGGCCAAAGAAGATGTAGAAAACATTATAAAATGTAAAATAGATAATTTTGATTATATAAAATAAAAAAGTTGTCGCACAAACAAAACAAATGCAACCAAATTTATAAGGAAAGCAAAAAACTGGGGGAAAATATTTACAAGTATTTCTGATAAAGGCCTCATTTCTCAATCAAAAAATACAAGTCTTTCTCCAATTGATAAATGGTCAAAGAATTCGAACAGGCAATTTTCAGATATAGAAATCAAAGCCATCTATAGTCACGTGAAAAAATGCTCTAAATCACTATTGATCAGAAAATGCAAATTAAAACAACTCTGAGGTACTACCTCACACCTATCAGAGTGGCTAATATGACAAAAAAGGAAAATGTTGAATGTTAGAAGGGATGTAGGAAAAATGGGACACTAATGCACTGTTGGTGGAGTTGTGAATTGATCCAAACTTTCTAGAGAGCAATTTGGAACTATGCCCAAAGGGCTATAAAACTGTGCATATCCTTTGATCTAACAATACTACTGCTAGATCTATATCCCAAAGACATTCAAAAAAAAGTAAAAAGAACCTACTTGTACAAAAATATTCACAGCAGCTCTTTTTGTGGTGGCTAAGAATGGGAAATCAAAGGGACACCCATCAATTGGAAATGGCTGAACAATCTGTGGTATATGATTGTAATGGAATATTATTGTGCTATAAGAAATGACATGCAGGATGATTTCAGAAAAACCTGAAAAGACTTGTGTGAACTGATAACATAGCGAAGTGAACAGAACTAGGCGAATATTGTACACAGTAACAGCAATATTGTACGATGGGGGGCAGCTAGGTGGCGCAGTAGATAAAGCACCGGCTTTGGATTCAGGAGAACCTGAGTTCAAAACTGGCCTCAGACACATAACACTTACTAGCTGTGTGACCCTGGGCAAGTCACTTAAACCCCCATTGCCCAACCAAAAAAAAAAAAAAGAAAAGCAATATTGTACGATGAAGAACTGTGATCCAAAATAATCCCAGATGACTAATGATGAATACTATCTGCCTCCAGAGAAAGAACTGATATTGATTGAATACAGACTGAAGCATGCTATTTTTCACTTTTTTCTTTCTTTTTTTATTTGAGTCTTCCTGTATAAAATAACTAATATGGAATTGTTTTATATAACTACACATGTATAATAAGCACACGATTGCTTACCATCTCAGGGAGAGGGAAAAGGAGGTAGAGAGGGAAGGACAGAATTTGGAACTCAAAACTTCAGATAAAGATATTTTAAAAATTGGGGAAAAAATTCTCCATAGTATAAGTACAGCAACGTGGTTAACTTATTTTTTCAATTTACAAGGCTGCCTCAGCTGTGCCAAAGACTTAAATGAAATATATTCCTTTCAGCTACTCTGTTTCTTTGCTCTCTTACTACTATTTCTTTAAACTAACTCATTAGCAGTTGAGTTTGAAGGTCCAATGTAGTTCTTAAGACAGCAAGCATTATTACAGGGTTCACCTAAAGTCCTTTTCAAAGGCAAGTGTTATGAAAAACAATATATAACAATATATAAATGTGAGTTATCAATATTATTGTTAACCTATACCAAAAAGTTTTCCTCTGATGATGTACCATAGGAAGTGATGCTCATAGAATGTAAGTTCTATCGCTGTAAGCACAGATTCAGAGATAGACTGTCATATAAGGACCAGCCTCCCTAAATTCCTAAATTCAGAGGCTCATTACCAGAAGATGGTCTAATGAATGATGAATTTTTTTCAGTCATAATAGCTCATAAAGACTATCACCTAAGGCAAGTGTTGCCATTTACATTAATGGAGGGAGTGTCCCTACCAAAGAAGTTACAGATAACCTAAAGTAATGAATTGAGTACAAGACCCAGAGTTTTAGGACTAGAACTTCTTGTTCTTCATAGCATACTTTTTTCTTTTTCTAATATAATCTTAATGATATTTTTAAAATAACGTTTTCTTGATTTTTAAAAATATTACATTTCCCAACCTATTTTTTTTTCTATCCTTCTCCTCCTCCCAGAGACTTATCCTATCACAAAAAATAAAGGGATAAAGAGAGAATGGACCTGTGATTGCACTGCTAAAGATAATCTCCAGATGAGAAACTGTCTTTACCAATGCATGCACCTTCTGCATCTTCTCTGCAGCTTCTAGTCTTATAGAGTGGCCTAGAGCACTGAGAGATAAAGTGACATGGTCACAGTGAATATGTATCAGAGACAGCACTTGAAGCTTAGAATGAAAAGGAAATCCAGCAAAACAAGCCAATACATGGAACAAATCTGACATGGCATTCTATATTTCCCCACCTCTGCAAAGAAAGAAGGGAAGAGTACTTTTTCATATCTCTTCTATGGGGCCAAGTTTGGTCATTGTAATTTCACAACAGTCAGCTTCAATTGTTTCTATTTAATAGGAACTGAATCCTAGTAATAGCGGTAGCTGTTCTTTCACATACTTTGACATCTTTATTTTTGAGGAGGAAGATTATAATCATCTTTGAAGACAGAGAATATTATATTTGTTATGATAAACACATAGGAAATCATGAACTAATTGAGGAAAATATTATTAATAATACACTACATCTTAAAACTGTTAAACTTTACAACTCATTCTGAGAATTAAAC